TATTTAAAATTGAATTTTCATATTTTTTTTGTCTGAAGTAAATAAATTTGCAAATGAAATCCAAACAACAGTTTATATTTCCTACCATATCCGCGATTTCTATCCTTTTGGTTTTGTTATCACGAATTCCTTTTAGGTTATGCAGGTTATTTTCCTATTTAGTTTATACAATTGGTGCCTACATAAAAGAAAACACAGTTGTAACCAACAAATTATACTCTTTCAATGCAAAGGGTAACACTCTTGCCAAGAGCAACATTTCAAAAATTTTCTATTTTTTTGTTTACCCGAAAAATCAAAATCCAATTAATTAATCAATATCATACAAGACACAGTACCAGTTCAGATCGTTAAAAATTACCTTCCTAAGAAAATCAAACCGTTCAAGAGAAAACACTGTGCTGTGCGCATTAAAAGCGTTCTGGACCTGAAGTAAGAACCGAGAAAGAAGGAGAAAGCAAATGAGAATCTCGTAAAGAGGAACAAGCATAATCAGTAAACAAGGCGTGTAATTAATTAGAGAAAGAGATAAGAACCGGAGGCAGAGAAGGACGACTCTGTGTAGACAGCAAGCTTCCCTGAAACCCTCAAGCCATAAAAACGACGCTTGCGTTGATTTTGCTTGTATTACTTTCACAAAAGGCTGTGAATTTTCCATTGCAGAAGAAAAGAGAGGAAAGAAATTTGATGAAGAAAAGTGTTTGCTTCACCCAGAGGGTCAGTCAATCAACCCTAATCAGAATGAAGGACCTGTTTGAATTTGATCATAGGTTTCTGTTGGGACAAAATTGGGAGCTTTTCAAAAATGTTATATTAGTGGTGTTCTGGACATAAAAATATAACTTGGAGGGTATTTTCGCCAATTCAAATTATTTCAATATTAACAGGTTATATAATTCTGTAAGAGGAGAGAGAAGATGACGAAGAATTCATTTGGTGCAAGAAACAGAAATCAGAACGAGAGACGAGAGAGAGGAGAGGATGGGAAGGGAGGGCAAGGAGCCTTGCAAGAAAGTGGCATGCGATATTCAGGCCTGTCTCTCGAAGAACAATTTCCTACCTCAAAGGTATCCATTTTTCTCTTCTCGATATTTACAAAAATCTATATGCAGTGAGATCAAAGTATTGTTTGGAAGTTTTGATTTTAGGAGTTGACATGATTGATGACTGGAGTCGGACAGAATTTGCTGTGTTGAACTGTCGGATAGGATTCTTTACCGTGATAAGATTTTCGGTCTGTTCTATTTTAGTATTTGTTTAGGCGAAACAAGTACGCTAATGTACAAGAACATAATTCCCTTTAGAATTATTGAAGAAAAAAATTATTTTCCCAAAACCTGATAGATAAATTTGTTCTTAACCTATCATTGTCGCTTTTATTCTTCAATTCTATCTACCGTTTATCTTCATTTTCTTTTTCTTTTCAAATCTCCACCATGGCATGTCTGCAATTCACTCATTGAGAATTGCTCTAACTTCCTCTGTGTATCTTGACTGCATGGACGAGTATGAGAGAATAGAGCACAAGTGAGAGTTGTTCATTTTTTAGCAGCTAGACCCAAATAATGGCTCATTTTCCGTCATTTTCCCATAAAAATCACCCAAAGTCCTTCGTTTTCTTTGAAAAGTCCCTCATTTTCCTTTATTTTCCCATTGCACATCACCCACAATCCTTTATTTTCCTCCATGAAAAATCTCACATTCTTAGGTTAGCACACAAACAGGGCTTATCTTCACTACCCAAGAAAACTTGCATTGGCAAACAAATTCCATTCCAGCAATCCCACCACCTACTCAAAGACCTAAGGAGCTATAGTGGGGATAACGAAGCGTGACTAGATGGTTTCAACGTGAGGTTCATTAAGCAAAATTGTAACACTCTAAAGAAGGATATTATCTTCCTATATAGGGAGTGATACATGTTCTTTTGAGTCCAACCTCACTCTACTTTTTGGTGCTCATTCCAAAAGTTATCATGGCCTCAAACATAAAGGATTTTGGATCTATCAATCTTCTAGGAAGCATTTATAAGCTTCTAGCAAAGATCCTAGTAAAGAAGATTGAGTCAGGTGATGTGAAAAGTTATAAAGGAATGTTGGCATGCTTTTGTGGGAGGGAAGGTAAATTCTAGATGCAGCTATGGTTGCTAATGAGGTGGTGGGTAATCTTTTGAGAAGTAGAGGGGAAGGAGTGATGTGCAAGGTTGATATAGAGAAGACGTATGTATCTTGGAGCTTTGCTTTATATGCTACATAAAATGAGTTTTGGCTATAAATGAGGTTCTTGGATAATGATGTGTATCTCGACTTTCCTTTGCAGTTATGGTCTCTGATAGTCCTTCAACATTCTTTAAGGCATTTACTTGCCTAAAATAGGGAGACCCACTTTTCTTCTCTTTTCTTTATCAAGGTGGGCAAAAACAGTGGCATAAAGGAGGCCCCCCAACTTCTTTTTGCAAATGATGTACTACTATTCTACAAGCTTGAGCCAATATTCTTAATGAATATCAAAGGTGTGCTATTTTCAAGTAGTCTTTGGGTGCAAGATCAACATATCAAAGTCAGAACTTATTAGGTTTAGACATAGGGAGACTTGGTTACATTGGCTAGCATTTTAGGATGTAAGAAGGTTGTGCTCCCTATGAATTATTTAGATTTACCCCTAGTTCTAAATTGAAAGATATATCCATTAGGGAACCCATTGTCAATAGATTTTAAGCTAGACTCACAGGTTGGAAGAAGAATTCTATGTTAAAAGGAGTGCACCTGACTTTGAACAAGAGCACATTTGCAAATCTCGCTATTTGTTACCTACCAATTCTGATAACTCTAGTAAGTGTGGCAAAGAGATTGGGAGCTATCCAATATAGATTCATATGTTAAACCTAAATAAGAAAAGGAGCTTTCACTTAGTTGCATGGAAGTTAGTTAAAGAACCATGAGACGGGTGTCCTAGGTATTAGGTCAATGATTGAGTTCAACAAAGCCTTGCAAGGAAAGTAGATATGGATATTTCTGATGGAGATGACAAGATTTAGCTCCATTAAAAAAGACTTGGACATCCTTCTTTTTCTATTCTTAAAGTGATGTTTCCGTTTTTATTTAAAGAAACCAATAGTGAAAATTTATATATGAGGTATGTGAACTTGGTAAATATAGTCGTATAATATTTCTTATAAGTAATATGAGAATTCTTACTTTTTCATTAATTCATAGTGACATATGGGGTTCATCCTACACTCCTAATATTTCTGGAGTTAGATGATTTATGTCTTTCATTGATGATTGTACAAGAGTCACGTGATCTTTCTTACTTAAATCTAAGTTTGATGTGGGTTGCATAGTACCTCGATTTTATAATATGATAAAAACTCAATTTAAATGTCATATCAAAAGATTTTGCAGTGATAATGGCAAACATTTTTTCAACTCACTCACTCTCATTCTTCTTTTACCAAGAAAAGATTATCTAGAATCTTCATGTGTCTATACAGTACAACAAAACAGAGTAGCAAGATGAAAGAATAGTCACTTTCTTGCTATGACCCGAGCTTTCTTATTAGGGGGAAAGCAATTCTTTCAGATATTTACATCATTAACCAATTACCCTCAAGTGTTTTGGATTTTAAAAGCGCTACGGAAACACTCGTAAAATTTTCTCACCGAAGTCGGTGTCACAAACCATTGAATCCCTAGAATAGTCTGTATATTTGCTTTGTTCACATTCATTGACATTGGAGATGAAAATTTGATCTCAAAGCCTTAAAGTGCGTATTTGTGGGGTACTTCTCTTTTCAAAAGGGGTATAAGTGCTACCATATGCTTATGTAGAAATTTTGTGTCTGCAAAGTTACATTTGTTGGAACAGACTCTTACTTTTTCTAACCTTATCTTTAGGAGAACTTATATTGAAAGATAAGAATACAGATTTCTTTGTTCACATCAACCTTCAATCATTTCCACCTCTCTAATCACCAACTACACTACTGTAGAAAAGCTCTCAAAATCCATCGTTACCACCTACCCAATTGCCACCTACACCACCACAAAAAATCTCTAAAAATCCTCTAGAAAATCAACCTACCCAAGAAACCATGCATAGCCCGAGATTTACTCAAGTGTACTCAATAAGAAATAATATGGCCTGAGTTGAAGCAGGTTTAAGTATCAAAAACAAGTTCTGGAATTGAAGTCTTGAAACCTTGTACAACTTGATATTGATATGTCTTTTACAATCCGTAAAGGAACCAAGGAATGCATTAAGTACTCTCTTTATCCAATCTCACAGTTTGTGTCGTTTAATAAATATTCACAATCTCGTAAGAATTTCCTTACGAGTTTGAATGATGAGTCTATCCCTAACACTTTTGATGCATTATCCTATGAAAAATGGAAAATATAATGAATATTGAAATGCAACCACTAACAAACCAGACGTGGGAAGTGGTGAATTTATCCAAATGAAAGAAACCTATGAGATGCCAATGGATTACAATAAAATATTAGGGTGGTGGAACAACAGAGAGGTAAAAGACAAAGTTGGTGACCAAAGACTATATCTAAACCTATGGGATAGATTATCAAGAGACATCCGCTCTAGTTATTATGATGAAATTAATGCGAATCTTGTTGTTTCTATCTATCCACTTTAACTAGCAATTGAAACGATTTGATATAAAGAGTGTTTTTCTGTACAGAAATCTATAAGAAGAAATTTATGTGGAAATTTCGCCAATATTTACATGCAAGAACAATAAATTGTGTAAAGTGGAAAATGCATTTTATAGGCTCAAACAATCCCAACACATGGTTTGGTAGATTTCCAAAAATAATATTAGACTTGAGATGTAAACGAATTCAAGAAAACCATACTCTATTTCTCAAACACTCATAACTAGGGAGAGTTACAATTCTCTTAATATATATTGATGATATTATTGTGATAAGGGATGATGAAAAAAAAAATTGATGCTCAAACAATGCATGATCAAGAAGTTTGAGATCAACAAATTAAGAAAATTAAAGTACTTTCTTGAAATTAAAGTTGTTCACCTAAACTCAGGGATTTTCATCTCACGGCAAAAATATATAAATGAACTACTAAAGGATACTGATAAGATAGCATGTAAACTAACTAGCATTCTTATTGATCTCAATCACAAATTGGAAGTAGTAGAAGAGGATATAGAGATAGATAAGGGAATGTACTAAAGATTAGTTGGAAGATTGATATACTTATTACAAACAAGACCAAACATTATCTATGCAATAAAGTATAATAAGTCAATTCATGCAGAACTATAATCAGATGCACTTACAAGCAGCCTACAAAGTGTTGCATTACCTGAAGGGGACACCTGAGAAAGATATCATGTTCAAAAGGAATGATAGGTTACTCCTTAAAACCTATATCGATGTAGACTATGAAGGGTCAATGGTGGAAAGAAAATCTACCACATGTTATTGTACATCCTTTGAGATAACTTGGTCACTTGGTCACTTGGAGTACAAAGTAAAATATAGTTGCGAGATCGAGTGTAGAGTCAGAATTCTGAGTAATGGCACAAGAGGTGTGAGCTCCTATGGTTAGAGAGGATTCTTGAATTTTAAGAATCAAATGGAATGATCTTATGCTTTTATTGTGGCAATAAGTCAACTATAAGCATCGCACATAATTCAGTACAATACGACAAAATAAAATATATTGAGATTAATAGACATTTCATAGAAAAGAAGGTAGATAGTGGTCTTAAATGTACACTATACATGTCTACCAACTCAGAACTTGCGTACGTGTTAACCAAAGAATTGAATAATCCAGTATTTTAGACTATCGTTGCCAAGCGAGTGGATAGACAATAATTACTCCTCAGCTTGAAGGGGCGTATTGAAGAACAAACTATATATATAATTAATCTAGGAGATTAGGTTAAAGCACATTCTTGATAGTCCCAAGTTAGTCTCTTAATTTCTCATATATTTACTTGCATAAGTTATGAAATAAAACGTAAAGCTTTAGCCCAATTGGAGGTTGATTAGGCCAAAAAGGTCAAAGCGTTTTCACTTCCTTTTCTAACTTTGTTCCCGTCCTTCATCGCCAAACCCTAGCATTGTCTTTCTTCATGAGAAGAGATGAAGAAAGAATTGATGTCTGTATTTGTTTTATTTTTTTTATGTTGAGGTTAATAATAATATTACTATTATTAATAATATTTTTTTGGAGAAAATAATAGTGATAATATTATTATTGATGAATATAGGTGCAGAAAAGTGATAGAATTACTGGAATTGTGCTGTGAGAGATGCAATTACAATTCTACACATTGCGCTTCCGTTGCTGATCTGCTCAAGCAAATCAGGAAGTAAGCCACTTTTTGCACAAACCAGAGTGCAGATTCACCGAAGCAGAATCCATCTTTTCATTGGTGCTGAAACAATTTTTGATGGCAATTGTCTTTGCCTATGGTGTGTTTGTTCCAGAAGAGAAGCCTTCTTTGCCTGCTCTTCTTGCTGCATTGCCTTCTCCTAACAAATTTTGCAATTTTATACATGCATGTCTGTATATATCTCTCACCAGACAATTTTATTCCCCATGGAATTACTTGAACTGAGGAATATTCTCTCTTCTTTCAAATAAATCCCTCTCTGAATTGAATTCTAATCTTTTTTTTACCTAAGTATGGATTAAGAGCCAAGGTAAGAGAGAGACTTTCTTTTGGTCCACTTTTCCCCCATCCATGAATTTGGAGTTAAGATGTATATTCGTGTATTGAAAAGATAGGAATAGGGATATATCAATTATCATCCGATTCATGACGTTGTTGTTTGTAAAAGTATGATAAGAAAATTTGTTGATATATATATATATTTATTTTCAAATTTATTAGTTTGTATCCGAGCAAAATTTGAAAAACTCAATTTATAAACGGATCGAAATGCTGTATTTCAATCATTTTGTCATTGAAAATAAGCCATATAGGCACACACGTAAGTTACCAAACATAGACAAAGGTTTGGGTGGTTTTATCACCGGAGAACCCTCTTACAGTTATGTTTTTGCATTAAATAGCTCTACTTTTCAATTGAATGAACTAGTCCTAGGAATATTTTGGATAAAAATGTGTAAAATAAGATCGCAATTAAGTCTTGACTTTGCATTTAGATGCACAAGTGACAAGAAAAGAAGATAGAATTGGACAAAAGAATAAAACGTACTAGGCAAAAAAATTGATTTATAATTCATAAGTCTTTAATTTTTTTCTTTTTTTGAGAAATTAGTACGTTATTTGATATTTTAAAAAAATTATAGAAATAACTAATTTTATTAAAAATATTAACTTATTTGAACCAACACATACAAAAAATTATCAATAACAATAATATTCTATTATTAAGTTTCTCTTATATTTATAAACGATAGTAAAGGTTTAAAATATATAAGAATTATATATCAAAGATGAAGAAAATCATAAAATTAAAGAATAAGTAAATCATGAATTTAAAGATGAAGAAAATTATAGTATTAAAAAAAAAATCAAGATGTTAAAGATAAAATAAATTAAGTTAAAAAGGTAAAATTATAATTTTTGTAATTAATTCTATTAATTGTTTATTTCTTTTCCGTCCTTGAAAATCTATATATATAGGGTAGTAATATTCGATAGAATACAAATCAATCAAAAAATCATTCTAAGCAAGATATAAAGTCTTAAATTAAAAAATCTCTAAACTTTTTTATAAACTATTTGTAGTTTTCATTGTTGAAATTAAAAAAAAAAATCTAAAAGATGTTAGCCTTTATAACCAGACACCACCCTCCAGTCAATAGCCACCATAGGGCTAGAAACCACCACCAACCGACCTTCATAGTCAGCCCAAAAGTTGCCACTTCTCCCTTTATCACCATAATTCCAACCTGTAATAATCACCATAGATACCATTTTCAACTCATCTCTATCACAAATCTTTACACACAAATGCGTGTGTGTCAGCTGTTGGTAACCTTGTCACAACTTCGGTTTAGATCCAAGCTTATATGAGTCAATGCGGAATCATTGAGTTGACTTAGTGATTCCATGGTCTGAGTTAACTTGATACAGAATTAGTGTTTCCTTATATAGCCAAATTACTAGAGTAAATCATAACATGACAACTTCATATTTTGGTAAATTCAGAATAGAAATTGAAATACTAAGGGCACTACTTGAGTCTCTAGAGATACAAACAAGTACCATTTTATTGGCAAACTCAAATATAGCTTCTATCTCACATGAGCTAAATATTTCAGTATAGACTCAAGAGGCATAGATCATAAAATTAATATATCTAAAATATTTTTATACATATATTACATATCTAAGTAACAAAAAGATTATCATTATAGATAATTTTCCTAATACTATTAGAGGTAAAGATAACATCAAGCTTAACTCTATCGTTGTCCTCAAAAAATATATTACGTGTCCTCATGTTATGCAATGATCTTGTATTAGTGAGTAAATTATCACAAGACTCGAACTATAAAGTAATATTTGTTTCTTCTCATTATGATTTTCAAGATCATAATTTTGAAAAGATGATTGGATGCACTGAAATTAGAAATAGACTCTACTACTTGGATCCGCTATAGGGATCATTCTACTATTACTACTGGCCTCACGCACAAGATCTTGCTTCAATATAAAATATTACAGTAAATGCAAACATGGCAAGTTCATAGTTTAGTAAATTATGAGTGGAGATTGAAAGATTAAAGGCATGATTTGAGTCTTCAGAGAAACAAATAAATATCGAATTATTAGCACACTCAGATATAACTTTTATCTCACAGGATTTAAATATCTCAAATAAATCATTTGAAAACACTTGGATTATAAACTTAGAAGTCACAAATCATATGACTAATACTTGTAAATATTTTTTTATATATATTTTATGTGTAAATAATAAAAAGATTATCATTATATACTATTCTCTTGGTATTATTACGTGCAATATGACATTAATTTTAGCTCTACCATTGTCCTAAGAAATATATTACATGTCTCATTTGTGCACTAATCTTGTATCAATGAGCAAATTATCACAAGACTTGAACTACAAAATAATATTTTACTCTTCTCACTATGACTTTCAACACTAGAATAAAGAAAATATGATTGGATGCATTGAAGGCAAAAACAGACTCTATTATTTAGATGCATGTAGAGGATCCTTTCTCTTATAACTACTAACCTCACACATAAAATTTGACTTTATCATAAAAGACTTGGAAACCCATCATTCTCTATTTTAAAGATGATATTTCTTTCATTATTTAAGAATTCAAAATATAAAAATTTACACTATGATATCTGTGAGTTTGTAAAATATAAGTATATGATGTTTTTCACAAGTAATAAATAAAGTTTAATTCCATTTTGATTAATTCATGGTGATATTTGGGAACCATTTTGCATATCTAATATTTTTAGAGTTTGATGGTTTATATTATTTATTAACAATTGCATTAAAATCACTTGGTTGTTTTTACTTAAAACCAAATATTATATTAGTCATATCATACATTAATTTTGTAATGTTATAAAAATCCAACTTCGAATATCCGTAAAAATTATGTACCTATAATGCCAAAGATTTTCTCTATCACACACTTTCCTCATTCTTCATCAAGAAAAAATATTTCATGAATCATTATACATACAAACACTACAATATAATGAAGGCGGAATGCAAAAACAAAGTTACCTTCTAACCACCACTAGAGTTGTTCTATTTCATAATAGTATCCCAAAACAATAATGAGACAAAGTCGCTCTTACTGCCACCTATATTATTAATCTTTGGCCCACAAGTTTTCTTGACTTCAAAAGTCCTTTTAAAATACTTCAATAGTTCTATCCAATAGTAAGTGTCACAAATAATCTTATCTCCCGAATATTTACATATATTGCATTTGTTCATATTCATTCTCACCAAAGAGAAAAACCTAATCTCTGAATCCTGAAATATGTATTTATGGGATATTCTTCTCAAAATATGATACAAATGTCATCATCTATTTACCCAAAAATTTTATATGTTTATAGATGTCACATTTGTTGAACAAAAATCCTACTTCACCCACCATTATCCTCAGGGGAAGCTTATATTAAAAGATAAAAAAATAGACTTCATAATTGATTTTAACCTACCACCATTGTTACATACCTCAAAACCAACAACATAAGAGACTGTTCAAAATCCACCAAAAATCTCACCACCATAAAAAAACCTTCAACGTTCATTATCTCAAGAAATCATATTAGAGCCTAAGTTTTCTCACATGCATAGAAGGTAGAAGATGCAAAATACTAAAATAAAGTAGGTCCAAGACTCTAACCTTGATCTTAAAATTGAGGTAAGTCTTAGAAAACTTATTGTATTTTATAAATGTATAAGAGAATGTATTAAACATCTTTTATACTTTATCTAATAATTTGTGTCATTTGATAAGTATTCATTAATATAGAAATTTTCTCATAAGTTTAAATACTGAGTAATCCCTAATATAGTTTTTTAAGCCATTATCCTGTGAAAAATAAAGAAATATTGTGAGTGTGAAAATGCAGGCACTTTAAAAGAATCATACTTGGAAAACAATGGATCTACCAAAAGGAAAGAGACAAATGAAATGTGAAATAAGTTTTCTAAATCAAACATAAAATGAATGAAACAATCGAGAGACATAAAACTAAGTTGATAACTAAGTATATCCACATACATATGAAATAGATTATGATGAGACATTCACACCAGTCACCAAGATGAATACTATGCGAATTTTGTTGTCATTAATTACCAATTTTGACTAACAATTATAGCAGTTTGATGTAAAAAAAATGTCTTTTTGTATAGAGATTTAGAAGAAAATATCTATATTGATATTATTGACTACCATACTTTATTATTTATTATTTAATTAGTTTATTTTGTTGGAATAAAAATACTTTTAAAATCAATATATCTATAAATCTAAATATATAATCTCATACTGAATCAATAAAAAATGTAAATGGAAGTGTACCTGAATCCATCGTAGAAGATTCGATTGCATTCTGCGGTAAATACTTCTGAATTAACATAATGCCTCAAAAGCTAGTTTTTTTTCAAGTGACATGATGTTAGAAAAATAAAATGGCAGTTTTGTTATTCGGGGACCATAACTACCTTTTATATCGATAAACATTTATAATTTTCATTTTGCCCATCATAAAACGAGAATATTACAAAAATAGTATTTGCACATTACAAACTCATATTTAAATCTGATGCATTAAGACTCAATACTTTTTAACTGTAATTGATCACTTTTAAATGAATCAATTAAATTGATAGTCTGATATAGATACCAAGACCCCCAGTAAGCCCACATATTAGAAAAACTCCAACAATCTCCTATTCGGGTTTTATATGACACCTTAACTATACATTAAATAACCATAAAAGTACTTAGAACTGTACTATCAATACCTAAATGCATCACCAAAATAATTATATTCATTGATCATAACGACATGTGATCAAAACGGTCTTCACTACAGCTATTGTAGTTAAAATCTTTAATGGTTACGTATATCAGTATAACCGAACGACATAGATCAAACATGGATGTACAATATGAAAATTACATATTATGTGATCTAAACATACCTATTTCTAACTGGTCCTGCCTTAACCTTAGTGAGATCAACTGTAAGAAAACTCATAGATAATATATATAAATAAAAAACAAAACACAAAAACTGTAATGAAATCATATATACATAAACAAAAGTCAAAGCATAAATTTTATGACGTCTTACAAAATAAATGCAACTA